CCCTCCATCCCTCCATCCCTCCCTCCATCCCTTCACCCCTCCCTCTATCGCTCCACCCCTCCTTCTATCCCTCCCTCCCGCTGCCTACTCCTCTGTCCCTCCCTCCACAAATATTTACTGAGCACTACTATGTGCCAGGCAATGTTCTAGAGGCTGGAGATACAGCAGAGCACCAACCAGACAAAAATCCCTGCTCTTGCAGAGCTGGTATTCTGGGGGGGGACACAAACACAACAAATAAGGAAGACACGCATGTGGTCTGTGAGAAGGTGATGAGTGCCCGGGATGGGATGTGAAGCAGGGAAGGGGATGAAGTGCTGGCTGGGGCCTGGAGAATGTTGCAGTTAGAGAGGGTGGCTGGGCTGGAAGCTCACCTCCAAAGAGGGAAGAGAGGAGTCTTGTTGCGCCCTGGGGGAAGGGAATCCAGGGAGAGGGTACTCCCGGTGCAAAGACCCTAAGGTAAGGGCATGCTGGAGTGTTGGAGGAACAGCAAGGAAGCCAGGGGAACAGAGTGAGCGAGGCGGAGAATGGAGGGAGAAAAGGGCAGAAAGACTGAGGGGTAGGACAGGGAGGGCCTCTGGACCATTCTGACGTTGACTGAGGGTTCTGAGCACATGTGGCTGCTGTGTGGAGAACAGACGGTGGGGATGAGCGTGGAACAGCGAGGTGACTACTGCATTGGTCCAGCGAGGGGAGGAGGCGATAATGGTTTGCCCAGGCTGGGGGTAGATGGTGGGAGGGGTCAAACATTATTTTGGGAAGATTTCATTTAATCTTCCTTTTTAAACTCTTTATTATGGGGGCTTATTAGTATCATGAACCTCCACTCTCCCATCGCTGAGCCCCAAGCACCGCCAACCTGTGGCCTGTCCTGCCCCCTCCCCACCTGTTCCATCTCCCCCCGTCCTGTGTCATTTACAGCAAATCGCGCACGTCGTATTTCACCTGTAAATCTTTCAGCGTGTATCTCTAAAAGATAAGGACTCGTGTTAAGAAAGTAGCCATAAAACCATAATCCAACAATAATTCCTTAATATCAGCAAAAATCCCCTCCTCCCTCGGATATATTTTGAGGTGGAGCTGATGCCCCTGGGCCTCCCTGTCTTTGCCCTAAAGTGAGGTTCATAACGGCCCCTCCTGCCAGGCTGTTGTGAGATGATCCAGGTAAGATGCTGAGCATACAGTAGGTGCTCAACCAATAACAGCTGCTACTATTATTGATTGATGGCAAACACTTACGGCACATTTGCTAGGATCCGGGCTCTGCTCTAAGCATTTCACAAATATGATTCATTGAATCCTCACAACAGTCCTTGGAGGTAAGTTATTATTTTTATCCAATTTTATAGGTAAGGAAACGGAGGCACAGAGAAGTGGAGTAATTTTCCCGAGGTCACACAGCTAGGAAGAATCAGAGCTAGGTTTTGAACTCAGGCAGTCCAACTCTTAATCCCAATGTGATGGGGGCTATGTGAGCCCAGAAAAAGAGGGGTACCTCTCTCAGCTGGGTGTCGGCAAGGTCAGGTATTGCCTGTCGTCAGGCCCAAAGGGTGCCCTGGAGTTCATGGGGGCGCAGGGGCCGGGGAGGTGGGTGGTGAAGCCTCGGGGGGAGCAGCATGTGCAAAGGTCTGGAGGCTGGGGGGTAATTCCGAGTTGAGGGGACCGTCAAGGGGTAGGGAGGAGGGAGGATGCCGCGGGCCCCCTGCACCCTTGGCCTTGATCCTGGGAGCAGCAGCAGGAGCTTTAGGAGTTCGGCCATCTTGCCGACCGCTGTCCCCAGGCTCAGGCCCAGATGCCCTCTCCCACGTCAGGGGTGACTAAGGGAGGGCTGGGCCTTCCTGCGGTCACGGATGGGGGAAGGCCGCCTGTGGGCTTGGGGAGTGGGGGCAGGGGTCGAGCTCAGGGCTGACCGTGGGGGGCCTGGCCCCGGGCCAGAAAGAAAGTAAAGGGGGATAGCGCCCACAGGCTCCCTGAGACGGGGGCTGGGACTTCCTGGTCTGCGAGCCGCCTGGCCCCCCACCTGCCCGGCCGCCTGGCCTGGACCCCGGGGTGGGAGCGGAGCGGGGCCGGGGGTGGTCAGAGGAGCCTCCCAAGCCCGCCACCCTCACCAGCCCCCAGCTGCTCCTGTGGGTGGGGGCTCCAGCCGCCCCCTCCCCAGTGACCTCCCTCTTGGGCGTGGGCCTCGGAGGAGGGAGATGGCGGGAAGTGGGTGTGGGGAAGGTGGGGCCACCCACTGTGTGCCTGTCTTTCCCCCCATTTGCTGCTGGGGAAACTGAGGGTGCAGGACTTGACCTGACCTGGCTCCCTAGCCTTTCTCTGGATGGTCTCACCTCTGGGCCTTTGCCCAAGCAGTGCCTTCCGCCTGGATCACTCTTCCCAGCCCTCTTCCCACAAACTGCCCAGCCTTCAGACCTCAGCCGAGATGTCTCCTCCTCTGGGAAGTCTACCTTGGTTTAGGTGCCCTCTTTTGCCCCTCCAGCCCTCTGGAGCTGGAGATCACTGTGCTCTGACAGGATTGCTGTGGGAAGAAGGCTCAGTAACCTGACCCCGCCTTGCCCAACACCCTCAGGGCCCCGAGGAGACCTTCATGGCTCTCCCTCTCAGTTTTTCAGGCCTTTCTGACCTAAATTGCTGGACAGATCCCTCTCAGGGCCTCCCTCAGACCTCCTCACATCTGGGCCAAAGGCCAGCAGCGACTCAGTTAAGCTGGGAACCACTCAGTCGAGACCTCTCACTCAATAACCCTCTGCACATCTGACCTTCGTGCCTCAGGGCCTTTGCACGTGTGTGTCCACCTCCTGGGCTGCCCTTCCCATGCTTCCTTGCAGGGCCCCCCAACCATGACGCTGTACCCACTTGGCTCTGGCGGGGGCCTGATGGGGACTTTCTGCTCCCCTCTCCAGAGGCAGGACAGATGGCTGCCAATGGGCTGTGTCCCTCCCCACTGCCTCCTCCCTCCTCCACCCCCACACATTCCCCACACAACCTCCACCACCCAGTCTTCCCGCCCCCCCCCCGGTGGGGCCACTGTTATCAGGAGACATTCCTGGACTGGCTGAGAACAGCTCCCACCTTGGGCCCTTCTGAGAGGGGTGTGTTTGCTGACATAGCCAGCGACTCCCTTGGGGGATGGGCCCTGGGGCACAAAGCTGCAGAGCCCAGACAATCTGAGTCTGCCTGCTGGTGCTGTCTCTTAGGAGCTGTGTGACCTTAGGCAAGCAACTTGACCTCTCTGTACCTCAGTTTCCTCATCTGCAAAACGAGGCTGATCACATAGGGCTGCAGTGGGTTCGCCTGGGCTCATGCATGTAGTGTACTGTTTAGCGTGGTGCCTGGACGGGAGTCTCTCTCCCCATCAACTAGCTGTAGTTATCATCTGAGAACCAACTGTCCCTCCTGTTTGTGGGGTCCCCAGTTGAGATGGCACCTGTCTCCTCCTTCTGATGAGTGCACATCAGGAGGGCCCCTGTGGGCCTTCTCTTCTCCCGGCCTGTGGGATGAGGAGAGGGCGCAGCCGAGAGAGGCTGTTTTTGGAAGTTGAGAACCTGCTGTGTGACCTTAGGCAGCGCCTCTCCCTCTCTGAGCCTCCTTTTCCTGGCCTGCTCTATGAGCACTTGGACCTGGGTGAGGCTCTGCCCCAGTCCCTCATTGTCCCCGTCACTGCACTCTGTAATCCTTCCCTTGGCTGGTCCAGCCGCCTGGCTTCTGTCTGTCTCTCTCACTCACTGCCTGGCGCATGGTGAGTGCTCAGTGGAGCTTTGTGGAAGGAGCCAATGGATGCACAGTGATCGAGGGAATGCCCAGGGCTTTCCTACTTCCAGGCCTTTGCCTGCTCGGCTCCCTTGGCCAGGAGCGCCGTCCCCAGTCATCTCTACTTGTGGGATGCCTGCTCGTCCTTGAAGCCCTTCTCAAGTGCTGCCTCTCCCAGGAAGCCTTCTCTGGTTTCCCCCAGTGTGAAGGGATTGCTGATGCTTGGACACTTGGTCTGGGGCTCTCTGGTGGCACCTGTGACATCTGTCTTGGTGTACATAGTAACATGTTAATAACCAGCAAGTACCGGGCACTTGCTGGGAGCCAGGCACAGTGGGGAGCCCTGCGTGTGTGTTGTCTTATTTAATCCTTGGCAACAACCTTGCAAGGTAGATATTATTATTATCCCTCCCTTTGCAGAACACAGAGGCTCAGAAGTGAAGCATCTTGCCCAGCTATGAGAGAGCAAGCCAGGAACTGAAACCAGGTATGCCGGTGGTTTTTCTTAGAAAGGAAAAAAAAAGCATTAACACACACGCGAGGTAAAAAATCCTTCAAACAGTACAAAAGAAGACAGGGAAAAGTCAGTCTCTCTTGCACCCAGGTCTCCTTGCCAGAGGCAACCACTGGCAGGAGTTTCCGGTATATCCTTCCAGGAAGATCCAGGTGTATATAACCATGTATGGTAAAAAAATTAAAAAAAAAAAAAAAAAGGTAGCACGTAGTATATGCTGTTCTACACCTGACTGTTTTCTTTTGACAGTGTACCTTGGAGATCATTTTGTGCTGCTTCTTTCTTTTTCATGGTTGCGTAGTATTCCATTGTGGATGAAGACCATGGTTTATTTAATTAGCAAAGAATACTTTGGTTGTTGCCAGTCATTTGGTTATAATAGACAATTCTACGATGAATATCCTCAATCATATGCTTAGTGTTCATGTATGAGGATACCTCTAGGATCAGTCCGAAATTGCATCAGAGGGTACGTGCAGTTGTCATTTTGATAGATATGGCCAGACAGTCCTTCATGGAGGTTGTGCTGATGTCTCCTCCCACCACACCCTCTGGTTCCCCTCTCTCTCACCAGCACAGGCTGCTGTAGAATTTTGAGATCTTTGCCAATCTAATAGATGAACAGTGGCCTCCAGTGTAGTTTTTTTTTTAAAAGTATCACAGCTTTATTGAGATATAAAATTTATTTATCTATATAATTTGAAAAAATTTATTTATTTATCTATATAATTCACCTACCATACAATTCACCCACTTAAAGTGTACAATTCAGTGGTTTTTAGTATATTCCCAGAATTGTGCAACCATCACCACAGTCAATTTTAGAGCATTTTCATCACCCCAAAAAGAAACTGTGTGCCCATTAGTCACTCCCCACGTTCCCTCAAACTTTCCTCCCCCAGCTCCAGGCAACAACAAATCTACTTTCTGTTTCTACAGATTTGCCTATTCTGGACCTTTCATGTAAATGGAATCACACAGTATGTGGTCTTTTGTGTCTGGCGTCATGCACTTAGAGTAATGTTTTCAAGGTTCATCCATGTTGCGGCATGTATCAGTACTTCATTCCTTTTTCTTCCCAAATAATATTCCATTATATGGATATACCACACTTTATTTATTCGTTCATCAATTGATGGACGTGTGGTTGTTTCCACTTTTTGGCTATTATGAATAACACTGCTGTGAACATTCATGTATAAGTTTTTATGTGGACATATGTTTTCTTTTCTCTTGGATGTATACCTAGGAGCAGAACTTCTGGATCATATGGTAACTCTATGTTTAACCTTTGGAGGCAATGCCAGATCATTTTCTAAAACAACTACACCATTTTACATTCCCACCAGCAGTGTAGAAAGTCTCCAATTTCTCTACCTCCTTGCCAACAACTTGTTTTTATCTGTCCTTTAAATTATAGCCATCCTAGTGGGTGTGAAGTGGTATCTCACTGTGGTTTTGATTTGCATTTCCCTGATGACTAATGATGTTGAGCATCTTTTCGTGGAGTTATTGGCCATTCATGTATCTTCTTTGGAGAAATATCTATTCAGATCCTTTGCCCATTTTTTAATGGGATCATTTGTCTTTTTGTTGTTGAGTTCTTTTTTTTTAAAGATTTTATTTATTTATTTTTCCCCCCAAAGCCCCAGTAGATAGTTGTATGTCATAGCTGCACATCCTTCTAGTTGCTGTATGTGGGACGCGGCCTCAGCATGGCCA